AGCTTACTGACTCCGAGCCAACAGTTTTCTTTCCTCGGGTTGGAAATATGCTCCCTGTCGAGCAGAGCACGTCTCTCAGAGAACAGAGTAGCTGCGTTCCACCGCTGCCTCGCTCAGTTTCAACTGGGACGCAAACTGCGTTTTCAGACAGTTCTGCAGCTGTTGGGCATGATGACTTCTATGATCGCAGTCGTACCACTCGGGCTGCTAAAAATGCGCAGGTTTCAGCGCTGGTCCCGCTCTCACGGGCTGTGTGCATTACGTCACCGCCACAGAAAGCTAACGATAACTGCCTCCTGCATGATGGCTCTCCGCCCTTGGAGGGAACCCGGCCTGCTGTGCCGAGGCTCACAGATAGGGAGGGTGTCCTTTCGCAAAGTGGTATCCACAGACGCCTCCCTGGTGGGGTGRGGGGCTCTGTGCGATGGTGCGGCAATGAAGGGGGTTTGGACTCTGAAGCAGTCCAGACTCCACATAAACTGCCTGGAATTGTTAGCGGTTCTGTTAGCACTGAAACAATTTTGTCCAGTTCTGCAGAACCAACATGTTCTGATCAGAACAGACAACACGACTGTAGCGTCATATATAAAGAGACGGGGGTGGGGGGTGGGGCGGTCTCTTCCCCTGTTGGAACTGTCTCACACTCTCTTGCAGTGGTGCAGCGTGCATTTCCTGTCTATCAGGGCTGCTCATGTTCCTGGGAGACTGAATCTGGGCCCAGATCTACTCTCCAGGGGCGGACCTATGATGAGGGAGTGGAGGCTGCACCCCTCAGTGGTGGACCAAATTTGGACCCTGTTTGGCAGGGCAGCAGTGTATCTCTTTGCCACAGGGGCCAACACCCACTGCCCTCTGTTCTTTTCCATAACGGATCATAACGCCCCACTGGGGGTGGACGCTCTAGCCCACCCGTGGCCCAGTGTACTGCTGTATGCATTTCCCCCAGTGGAGATGATACTGCCTGTACTAGAGAGGGTGCGCAGACAGGGTCTGTCTCTGATTCTGGTGGCGCCCASAGGAGGCTACATTCTTTGTGTCCTCTACGTGCACTGCGTATTTACATTGACCGCACACAGGAGGTGAGGTCATGTGATCAGCTGTTTGTGTGTGTTGCTAGCCCACTCAGGGGCAGRGCTCTGTCCAGACAGAGACTCTCCCACTGGATTGTGGAGGCTATCTCTTTAACTTACAGCAGCAGGGGTCTCCCAGTCCCATCTGGTGTGAGAGCTCACTCCACCAGGGGTGTAGCAGTGTCCTGGGCCCTATTTAAAGGGGTACCTGTGAGTGACATCTGTGC